GTTGTTGGACACTGTGGAGCAGATGAGATGTACAAACAAACCATGCTGCTACACAGCTGTAACATTTGCTCGAGCCCAGATTGATCTGATAACTAAAAATATGGTCACTCGTAAGTAATTGAATGTTTTTTTTTTTTAAATCATTAATCATGTTCTACATTATATTCTTACATCTACTTGTTCACTGTTCACATTTAAAGAAAATCATGTGTTTACAGGTGATGAAGAGAAGCAGAACACGGAGCCTCTCAGGATTGTGCTGATAGGAAAGACCGGCAGTGGAAAGAGCTCATCAGGAAACACCATTCTAGGAGAGGAAGTGTTTAAAGAAATGCCAAGTCAAACATCAGTCACCAAACAGTGTCAGAAAGCACACGGTGAGGTGGACGGCCGTCCGGTTGTTGTGGTCGACACTCCTGGTCTGTTTGACACAACTCTGTCACACGAAGAAGTTCATGAGGAGATGGTGAGATGTGTCAGTCTTCTGGCTCCAGGACCACACGTCTTCCTGCTGGTGTTAAAAATTGGTCGTCTGACAGCAGAGGAGAAGGAGACATTAAAACTCATAAAAGAAGGATTTGGGAAGAATTCAGAAAAGTTCACCATCATTCTTTTCACTGAAGGAGATTCACTAGAACGTGGCAAAATATCCACTGAAGATTATATTGAAAGTCAATGTGATGATTCCTTTAAGAAGCTGATCTCTGACTGTGGAGGAAGATACCATGTGTTCAATAATGTAGACAAAGAGAACCGCCAACAAGTCAGTGAGCTGATAACAAAGATTGACACCATGGTGAAGGACAATGGAGGAAACTGCTTCACCAATGAGATGCTGGAAGAAGCTGAAGCAGCGATAAAGAAGGAAATGGAGAGAATCCTGAAGGAGAAGGAAGAAGAAATTAAGAGAGACAGAGAGGAGCTAGAAAGAAAACATGAGGAAGAAAAGGACGCCATCAAAACAAGATTGGAAGAAGAGAAGAAAATATTACAGTGGGAAAGAGACCAGAAGCTCAAACAGATGGAGGAATACCTAAATAAGGAGCGCGAGGAGAGGAAAAAAGAACAGGAAATGAGAGAAAAAGAGAACAGGAAACGGGAAGAGGAGGAAGAAAAACGTAGGCAGGATTTTAAAATGCAGCTTGAAATATTGGACAAACAAATTCAGTCAGAAAAAGAGGAAAAGGAAAGGATTGACAAAAAGCTGGACGAGAGCAGAGAAGAGATGAAAAGAAAACAAGAAGCCTGGGAGAAAGAACGAAGAGAAGAAAGAGAGAAACGAGAACAAGAGGAAAAACAGAGACGACAGGAGGAGGAAAAACGACTGAAAGAACAGAAAGAAAAAATGCAGCAGGAAGCAGAGCTGAAAATCAAAGAGATGGAGGATAATATGAAAAAGGAGTGTGAAGAGAGAAAGAAAGAACAGGAAATGAGAGAAGAAGAGAACAGGAAACGGGAAGAGGAGGAAGAAAAACGTAGGCAGGATTTTATAATGGAACTTGAAAGGTTGGACAAACAAATTCAGTCAGAAAAAGACGAAAAGAAAAATGTGGAGAGAAAGCTGGAAGTGAGCAGAGAGATAAGAAGGAAACAGGAGCAGTGGGAGAAAGAACAAAGAGAACAAAGAGAGAAACGAGAACAAGAGGAAAAACAGAGACGACAAGAGGAGGAAAAACGACTGAAAGAAGAGAAAGAAAAAATACAGCAGGAAAGAGACCAGAAACTCAAACAGATGGAGGATTATCTAAATAAGGAGCGTGAAGAGAGAAAGAAAGAACAGGAAATGAGAGAAAATGAGAACAGAAAACGGGAAGAGGAGGAAGAAAGACGTAGGCAGGATTTTATAATGCAACTTGAAAGATCGGACAAACAAATTCAGACAGAAAAAGAAGAAAAGAAAAATGTGGAGAGAAAGCTGGAAGAGACCAGAGGAGAGATGAGGAGAAAACAAGAAGCCTGGGAGAAAGAACGAAGAGAAGAAAGAGAGAAACGAAAGCAAGAAGATGAACAGAGACGACAAGAAGAGAAAGAACTTGAAGAAAAGTACAAACAGAAAAAAGAAAGTTATGAAAACAAAAGAAAAGAAGAAGATGAGAGCAGGAGAGAAAAGGAGAAGAATGAACGAAAAGACCTGGAGGACAAATATAAAACAGAAAAGGGAAATCTGGAGAAAAAATATGAAGAAGAAGCCAGAAAGAAAGCTGAAGAGTTCAATGAATTCAAGGAAAAATACAGTCGTATGGAGAACCAACTGAAAGACAAAGATGAGAAGTATGACCTGTTGAAGGCAATGAAAAGCAAAAAGCACCAAGAAATCAGTGATGTTGTGAAAAAAATCTCAAAAAGAAGACACAATCTGAGAGAAATCAGCAAATTACTGGAAAATCAGGAAAAGGAAATGGAGAATGTAAAAGATGAAAAGGAAAAGAAAACTCTGCAGGAAGAGCATGAAAAAGCATTAAGTGACCTGATAGAGAAACTTCGGAATGAAGTTGATTCAGAAAAGACAAAAGACTGGTGGACTGCATTCAAGAATTTTTTTTCATTCTAACAGCACAAAATCACAGGTGTTTGCAGTTTATGTGATTTATCACAGTGAAGGTTCATCAACATGTGAAAATGATTACACTAAAATCATAACTTGAATGTATGAATTATTAGTTGCTAATTATTTTTTGCCAGAGACCCATAATTGTCTTAATTCAGTGACACTTTGAAAGACACATCTTTGTTTTTCTTTTTTCATTTTGTCACTGCTTTTTCTTCATGACTCATCAACGAAATGCTGTCTGAAACACAATCTGACTATAATTGTATAAACATCCATATTATCATATTAGTAGGTTATGATCACTTTCTAGTTTTCATTCTAATTGAAGTTATTTTGAGACAAATTTAGAATTTATGTCCTTCAAACTAAAATAACTAACTGCATGTCATTGCTGTTTCCTTATACCATGATTAGAATCACCCCTAATATCCCATTATATCAGGGCTACAATTTAACACTTTTGCTTTCTACAATTTTCTGTTTTAGCGCTTTTTTTTTTTTTTTTTTTAAACTAAGTAGGTATTCCTCTTATTTGTGTTTCTAGGTCACAAAATAAACTTTTAAGATATTTTCAGGCGAGAATGTAGGTGTGCAAACGTCAAATATCTACTCGTTTTGTCAAAACATCCCATATTAGCAACAGTTTTCTCACGATGTTGCTGCTAGCCGGCTAGCTAGCTAGCGTGGCTAGCGCCGCTTCGCTCAAAAGCACCTGGGCTTGGCTTACAGTGAGGCGGCTGACACTCGTTTCACCACCCGATTGATCGCCAAGAGACTGTTTTTCAGTTGGACTTATTTTTCGTTTATATGGGCCGATAATTCATAATAAT